TAAGTAGTAAGTAGTAAGTAGTAAGTAGTAAGTAGTAAGTAGTAAGTAGTAAGTAGTAAGTAGTAAGTAGTAAGTAGTAAGTAGTAGGTAGTAGTAGTAGTAGTAGTAGTAGTAGTAGTAGTAGTGGTGGTTCCCCGTTGGGGCTATATTAGAAATGATCAGTCGTGACAAAAAGAAAATTTGTATCCAGCAAGGACCCAGAGTGGTAGTGGTAGTGGTAGTGGTAGTGGTAGTGGTAGTGGTAGTGGTAGTGGTAGTGGTGGTAGTCGTGGTAGCGGTAGCGGTAGTGGTAGCGGTAGCGGAGGTGGTGGCAGTGGCAGCGGTAGGGGTAGGGGGCGTGGCAATGGTAGTGTTAGTGGTAGGTGGTAGGTGGTAGGTGGTAGGTGGTAGGTGGTAGGTGGTGGGTGGTGGGTGGTGGGTGGTGGGTGGTAGGTGGTAGGTTGTAGGTGGTAGGTGGTAGGTGGTAGGTGGTAGTGGTAGCAGCCGCAGCAGCAGCCGCAGCAGCAGCAGCAGGAGCGGGAGCTCCAGCAGGAGTAGCAGGAGTAGCAGTAGTAGTAGTAGCAGCAGCAGCAGCAGCTGGTAGTAGAAGAAGAAGCAGCGGTAGCACTAGTACTAATACGAGTACGAGTACGAGAAGTAGTGTTCATGGTGGCAACCGTAGCAATAACTGTAATACCCATAGCATGTCATAGCCATGATGTTGATGCCAACCGCTCATAAGCTAAAGCCCGCAAGGGGCTCCGTAGAATAACCTACAAAAACCCCCGCCTTATCATACAACCTCATGTGGCATGGCCAAGCGACAGGGTGGGCTGAGCAGATCCGCCCATGTGGCGCTCAACTCCTGCACAACTGTTTCGGGGTAAAATCCGGGCAAAGCTTTCGTGAAGTGGTCCTCCGCCACATCGGCATCCCAATGCATGCCGTCGCGAGCCAACCCCCAGCTCCAAAGCTGCTTCTCGAAGGTATGCACGAGGTGACCGCGATGGCCAAGCCATGTCCTGTCGGCCAGGCCAGTAAATGCAGGTCTTGAGACAACCAGCTTGTGCGCGGGAAGTCGCAACACATGCACGCTCACAGCCTCACTTGCGCAAGGTTCTCATCGTACTGCGCAGTGAGGCCATGATGCTTGGCATACCTCCTTAGTGACCCGTCTGCTTTTGCTTCTTGTTGCCCTGCCCCCAAGCAGACAAGGAAGCTTAAGAAGGGCGCACAATGATGTGTTTACAGCTTACCTGGGGTTCCCCTCTTGCTTGGGCAGGGTATACACTGCACGAGAGAAAAAAACTGCATGTTTGATGTGTTCATGAGCATGACACACTGCATAGTTTTTCGGACTATTGTAAACACCGCTCCAACATCTTGAATCTTAAGGTGTAGGTCAACGGCGCAAGAGGTGACGGGACTGGCGTCCGATCAAACCCCGGGCTCCGACTCCGCGAAAGTTTTGCCTTCAAGAAGACAACTGACAGCACTCAATCTCTTCATTTCGAGATTCCGGATGCTTCCAGAAGAAGCCCTCAATTCCAAAACCGCATCCAACACGCCCCACACATCCAGTCACCCGTCCCAAGCTCCCAAGCCGCCTAGCCGCATAGCCCTTACCCTCGCTTTCCCCAAAGATCTGCTTGCGGCCGAAGGCACTTGGAGCTGCCCCCCACAACGAAGACCACGCGCTGGGCCTTCTCCTCCACCAGGTCCATCAGCTCAAACCAGGCAGCTCGAACCTGGCAGCAGTCTAAGAAACCATTCGAAGCTCAATGTTGAAAGCTTTGCAGTGCACCCCTTACACGGGCTTCAAGGTGGTTAATGTAACGATGTGCGCAACATGAACGATGCAGCGCACCTCCGGGCGGATCCTCCCTTCCGTGACGTCGTTCCCAAAGTAGGAGATGCCGAGGGTCTCGAAGGTCAAGGGTGTGTCCCTCAACCTCTGCAGGATGGTGTGGACGCCCGCGTTGGCGATCGCGTAGTGCCAGAGATCATCGGTCTCCAACTGCTCTTGCAGTTGGGACCCGATCCGCTTGGGTCCTTTCCTGCCTTTACAATAGAGACTAGAGTCCCCGATGAGGCCGTACAGCCGCATCGAAGTCACCTCAGCTACTGCTGTCCGGGATTTGGCAAGCTTTAGCCTAGGCGACATGTTCGAAACAGGCTGGCACCGAACTGGAAAGCATCCAGCATGCTTGCCTACCTGTTCGTTTGAGGTGCCAGATGTCCAGTAAGTTGAGTATGCACACGTTCCCTGAAGCTTCCCCAATGAATCGAATGATGCAAAAAAAACTCCGTCGATAATTACTTTCAGGAGTAAGGTACAAGGCTTGCAGAAGTGCGATTTGCTCAAGCTCGATGTCCATTGCCGTAATCCGTAGGCCGGAACAGCACGTTGTTCCCTGAGCCGTGTTGACGGTGCGATGTCCGTCATAAGTCGCGCACTTAAGAACATTTTGCTTCCCTGAGAAGATCAGTTCTGTGGCTGCGGCTAAAGTATCGGGCGCAACAGCTGCAAGGTCACAGTTCTATCCGACCCTGATAAAAGCAGGAGAACAGGCTTTACGTGTTCGATGAAACCGCGGACTCCCTTTCAAACATAAGCATTGCAGATCCACAAGCATTTAACATTGAACCTTTCCGAACCCCTCTCCAAAGACCCAAGCCCAAACCCAGATATGTTGAGTCGCAACAATCGCGGCACGTCCGGGGCTCGATGCAGGATGCTGCGATCGCTTGAGCCACGGCTGCAGTCAACAGCTGAGTGGTCAGGCTTTGGAGCCTTATTCAAGACGGCACTGCTTCAACTCACCACAAACAGCTTCGGAGGGATTCTCCATGAGTCGTTTTATGTGGCTGCTTTTACCCCCTGCCCTTCCTGATGTCATCAAGTATCTCTGATGGAGAGCATAAAAAATGGCCAGGTCGACACCAAACACTGCCACTCCTCTGCTACTCCACTGTTCATTACTGTATCCTTGATGTGCATATATTTACCTGTCGCCTATCGCCCACAATCTTCTGAATATTTTGTTGCGACTCAGAGTATCCGCGCACCTCTGTTTGGAAGTACGTGGCATTCGTCACGTTCAACCTGGCGCTTCAAGGGCCACGAACAGAGTGACTTCAACGCACAGTTCCTTGCTGGAGCAGGCCGCCTCCAGCAAGACGCATCAGAATAGTAATGAATGGTAGTAGTGATCATGATAAGATCAAGAATAACAGAAGTAAAAGTTCTAGTTCTTGGTATCATTATTA